CACAGGCTTGGGATCAATTCACTGAGCATGTACGTACTGTGTGCTGGGCTCTCAGCAGGAAGCTAGGGGTGTTAGAATTTGGTCTTGGCCACTGCTGCTTTCTAACCGTGGACCTCAGTTGGACAAGTTCCTTAACCTCTCTGAACATGTTTTTTCATCTATAAAATGGGAATAATGATAGTACTTGTCTCACAGAGTTCTTATGAGGTTAAAATGGCATATACACTCCTATATCTGTTTTAATTTCAATCGTTTTGGGGGTACAAGTGGTTTTTGACTAGATAGATAAGTTCTTTAGTGGTGATTTCTGAGATTTTAGGGCACCCATCATCTGAACAGTATACACTGTATCCAATATATAGTCTTTTTTTTTTTTTTTTTTTTTTTTTCGGAGACAGAGTCTTGGCACAATCTCAGCTCACTGCAACTTCCGCCTCCCGGGTTCAAATGATTCTCATGCCTCAGCCTCCTGAGTAGCTGGGATTACAGGTGTGTGCCACCATGCCCAGCTAATTTGTGTATTTTTAGTAGAGACGGGGTTTCACCATGTTGGCCAAGTTAGTCTTGAACTCCTGACCTCAGGTGATCTTTCCGCCTCGGCCTCCCAAAGTGCTAGGATTATAGGCATGAGCCACTGCGCCTGGCCCCAATATGTAGTCTTTTATTACCCCTTTTCCAACCTTCCCCTGCCAAGTCATCAAAGCTCATTACATCACTCTTATGCCTTTGTATCCTTATAGCTTAGTTTCCAGTTATAAGTGAGAACATAAAACATTTGGTTTTCCATTCCTGTACGCTACTATATCTTGACACACTGCCTTGAATATAGAAGATGGTCAACAAATGCAATCAGTAAATCTCAGTAAATATTATCATATTGCTAGGGTTAGTTACCTAGCAGCTTTTACTACACACACACACACACACACACACACACACACGTTGGCACATGAACTACAGCATAACTGATGAGCAACAGATACGATCAATAAATATGGTCCATTATTTCTGTCTTCCTATTACACGAATTAGTTGTGTGGTAGTTTTTACTACACACACACACACACACACACACACACACACACACGAGCGCTGAGAATCTGAATTATTCCTGAGCATCCAAGTTTAAGCCAGCACCCTGCCAGCTCCCTGGTCGCCTCTCCCAGGTGGGTGGATTCTGCAGCTGCTGTCTGGGCTTCCATCTGAGGTTCTCAGCCCAGCGGAACTTTCCCAGCAGCTACTCTTCTCATCCGTGTTTTGCCTCCCAAAACAGCTGATGGATGCAAAGGCCCCGGGCGCCCTCTGCTGGCAGAGGCCTTGCAGGACTTGTGGCCATCACCCAGGCAGTTGCAGAGGGACCCCAGTACCCGAGAGACCATGTCGTTGCTGTGTTTTTCATTCGGGCTTCATCTTCGCCTACCTGCCCCCCTCCTTCCCAGCCTTCCATATTGGCTGGCTAATTCTCACCCCTCCATTTTCTCTCTCTTTCTGCATTTCTCCAAGTCCCCCTGTACTTTCTGGAAGCTCAGGAAGGAAAGCCTTCCTCTGGGAAGGGGTGTCCTGAGCCAGGCCCCTGCCTCCTGAGTTTGCCCACTCTACTTCCTTGCGTTGTCCCATTGGGGTCAGATTTCCTTGCAGAGCTAAGATGGACTTGACAGGAAGGCAGAAGGATTGGAGGAGAGGGACATGGGGTTAGAGAAGGTGGCATTACCATCCCTCCTCTGCAATTGTAAGAACATTTCTAGAGGTTTGAAATGGAGACCCTTGGGTGGTAAAGTGAAAAATGATAGATTTGGCTTCAGATCTCATTTCCCAAATGCACCCAGTGTGTAAGTCCATAGAAAATCCATTTCCTTGTCAGTTAAACGGGGAATATATGCCTATCTTGTGGCATTGGTGGTGAGGCTTGAAGAGTTCACATAGAGAACAGAGCCTGGGGCATGGGTGAATAGCTCTCTCCTCTCTTGTAGGAGCAGCAAGGTCCTCGTCTTGGCTGCAGCCTGTCTGGGCTCAGCACACGCCCAGGCACTATGGCCCTTTCAGCTTCGACAGCCTGTGTCTGTCACAGGCAGGTCCTTCCACACCCTGTACCCAAACAGTGATGAGGAGTGCTAGAATGTCTTTTGAAGACATCTACCATGACCTGTTAGAGAAACAAAGACTCTATGCCAGGCATACAGTAAATATTAACCCTTCTATATTCAACTATCTGAGTGAATGCTTAGGGAAAGGCAAGCTGAGAAATAAAACCACAATCTAGTCATGTTTACTACATAATAAAGTACAAAATATACTCGACTTAAGCATTGGGTTTGCTTTTAAACCTGATAGAATTCTGGAAAATTTAAATGCCAGATTGAATCAACTTTAAAACTTAACTCATGGTTGAAAGCAATGTATTACTAAATTTTCATCTGGGGCCAAACCACCTGAGATCTCCCACTTCCCAGCCTTGTGGCCTTAGGTAGTTACACAACTTCTTTGTGCTTCAGCTTTTCAATGTCTAAATGGGGAATGTAAATGACACCTACTTCATAGAGTTGGGTGAAGAGTAAGTATTGGCAACTGTGCCTGGTGCATAGTAGGTGCTCAATAAAAGGCTATTGTTATTGTTGCCACTCCACTAAGGCCAACTGAGTAGCTGTTATGATCCCCATGTTACAGAACAGATCATTGGGATTTGGTTGGTTTGCTCCAGGTTACACAGCTAGGATGCAGTGTGGGCAGAATTGGAGCCCAGTCCTCATAGGCTCCTCTCAGCTTCCAAGGCTGAGCTACCTCCTTACCCTCACTCTGGCCTCTCCTGCCCAGAGTGAAAACAAGTGCTGGGGATCTTGCAGGGAAGAGACTTTGTGCAGCAGCACCTGGCACATGCAGAATTCCTGACAGCAACCCCCACCGATTGTTCTGCATGGCCATTTTCGTGTTTTCCCCACTAGGCTGAGAAGATCTAGAGGACAAGGGGACGCATCAGTCTGTCTCTGTGTTCTTAGCACCCCCCAGCACAGGATTCCACCCAACTATGTGCTCAGTGCATGCCAGTTGACTGCCTAGGGCATGGACTACCCCTTCATCCTGCTACATCTTTCAGGGAAAATCTATCACCAGAGACCACCACATCACAAGGGAGGAATGAGGACATTTAGTCCCGGCTAGGGTTACATGTTATGTGGAGGTACTTCCACTGACCAGAAGCCTGTCTTTTTAAATTCACATTGCTATTCCACACTCCCAGATTTGCAGACAAAGACCAACCATCTGGGTAGAACCCATTATCACCTGCACACACAGACATAAACAAGGATGACTCCACAGACAGTCACGGCACACCCACACACAATAGCATGTTTAAATGGTGAGTGTGGGCCTTAAAACTCACCATCATGCACATGCATCCTGGGCAGAAAGTCTCAGGCCCAGCCAGACCAGCTCCACCATCTGTTAACACCAAATCTCATGTTACTTGTCTTCAACTTAAAGATAATGATATCTATCTTTTGGGATTGCTGTGAAGATTAAGTGATAAAATGTATATAAAGTATTTAGCTAGATTCTAGCAAACTATAAAGATTCAATGAATAATACAGATGACAAAGACAATGATGATAATGATGGTGATGCTGGTGGTATTGAAGATGGTGATAAAGTCACATCCTCTGGACTCAGAAATGAAGAAAGTGTTCATTAAATGGATGAATTGATTATGAGTTTCAAAGGTGCCTGGAGTGGGGTGCAGAGATGTTGAGCAGACAGGAAGGTGACCCAAGCCACTCAACACTTTCACAGGTGCTTTTGAACTGCCTGAGATATAGGCTTCAAAGGCATTGCTTTGGCATCACGTATTTTTGTTTTCGTGCTTCTGATTTTCATTTCAAGGTTGACCGTTCGATGCGTCAAAATGAAGTAATAAACATCCTCCTTTTGTTCTTCTCCTCCCCCTTCTCTTCTCTCCTCCTCCTCTCCAGGCTATAATTCGTGTCTTTAATGCTGGGGATTTCTGAATATAAAGGGACCTCAGAAGTCATATTTAATATGGAAAAGCCCTCGATACCATCCATGCCAACTGGCTGTCAAGTTTTCTGCTTGCACACCCTCAGTAACAGGAAGCTCACCACCTCTCTTGGCAGGCTGTTAATTTTTAGGCAGGTCTATTGTCCGGAAGAATGAAATCTGCCTCCCTCTGCTGCACTGTTATTACCATCCTCTCAGAACTTTGTTCATGGTTCAGTTCTCTGGGGTCATTCAGAGGTCTGTCTTCTGTTCCCTGGGACTGGCCTGCAGGAAAGGGATAGAGGCACCTAAAGAAGTTAGAGCAAGGGAAAGAGCACTAACCTGGAGTCAGAAGACATGGGTCTAACCTATTAGGTTGTGATTCAGCAAGTCATTCCCTTTCTCCAGACCTCAGTTTCCCCATCTGTAAAAGGAAAAGTTAGAGCGAAAAAAAAAAAAAAATCTTAGGGCCCTTCCATTTTACCAAACATCTATTTTTCCAAGGTTTGTTTGTTCTTTTTTGTTTTTCAGCCTAATCTTGCCTCCTTGTTCTTCAAACACTACACACTATTCTCAGTTCTCACATCCTAGTTCAAGATTGCCACTGCTTATGCCAGGGGACATTTAGCAGCCACATATACAGTGTATAGAGCATCAGAGAGTATCTTAAATAATTGGTAGGTTTTTCCCATTAAGTGCTTACAACAGCCCTTAGAACTGAGTCTCACTTTATGGACAAGGAAACTGAGGTTCTGAGAGGAATAGTAGCATGCTTGAGGTCATACAGCCAAGTAAGCAGTGGGGCTAGAATTTGAACCCCAGCCTGCCTGATTCAGGAACCTGTAGTTAGCACCGTGTTCTCAGAGCTAGGATTCAGGAAACCAGAGGCATCACAGCAAAGCCACCCACCATGAGTCTTTATTCTGACTACAGCATCCTGCCTCCTTGCCCTGCAGCCCCCAGCAGCCTCCACTTCCTCGATTTGGCAGTCTCTCTGCTCCTCTCCACAGGGAGAACAACTTCATCAAGGACTTTCCCCAGCTGGCCGACGGGCTGTTGGTGATCCCGCTGCCGGTGGAGGAGCAGTGCCGGGGGGTCCTCTCCGAGCCCCTCCCGGACCTCCAACTGCTCACTGGTAAGACACATGTGCCAGACCCTTCCCAGGTTTCCTGACCACACACCTAGTCTCCACACCTAGTGCATATCAGTCTTCAGCAGATCCAAGATGGGCTCCATCAAGCCTCCTCCTTCATGAGGAATGGGATGGGAAGGAACTTGCCCCTCTTGGACTGCTGCTATTGGCTGTGCAGAACCAGGGACTTCCCCGAGACCCCAGACTTGGGACTGCAGTCATCTTTGAGAGGAGGTTCCTCTCTGAGAACAGGAACAATTTTTCTCAGTGAGAGTTTTGCCTCTGTGAATGAGTCTCAAAACACTTTTCATTCTCATTGACAATTTTGGTATTTTTCCACTTTTAGTATTTTATTTTTCTTGGTTCATTTTAAGTCATTCTAAAGCAAAGAAGTGAACTCTCCAACCAGGAGCCTCTCCTGCTTGAAAGCACTTGAGTTACACAGCTCGTTTTTGTGTGTGGGCACTGTGCCATCTGTTGGGTGGGTATTATTTTTACCATTTGATAGATTAGGAATCTATACTTAGAGAGGTAGAAGGGACCAGTCCAAAGTCACACAGCATATCTGCCAGTACTAAACCCTGGGTGCTATAGCACCAAGTCTTTTGCCCTTTTGACTCCACTTTGCAGCTCCCCCACCCCTGCAACCACTTTCTCTCCCCACTGGGAAGTTGCCTTTTGCAGGCTTTCCTGAGACTCCATATTTTCTGTCCAACCCCAGGGTGCTCTTTCCTCTTTTTGTGCTCCGAGTTCCTCTCCTACCCTTTTCTTAAGAAATTTCCTAAGATGTGAGGGTCCTGACTCTGCCTTTGTGATACTGTGGTTGCATGCCTTATCCGCAGCCCAGGGAGAATAGTCACGGGGAAATCGTCATGGGGAAGGATATTAGAGCTCTCTCACTGAGAGGGGAATTGTCCCCCAGGGAAGACCCCACAATGTCACAGACCTAGGTTTAAATCTCTGCCTGCCCTCCCCATCACTTGCAAGCCTGGGAAACCTCAGAAGAGTCATCTAACCTCTGTGAGCCTTTCCTGTGAAAGAGTATAGATGGAGGAGAGGACCCACATCGCTTAAGAGGTCCTGGGGTCCAGGCACTTTTTATGTGTTAAACCATGTAACCCTGCAAGGCCATTATTGTCCCCTTTAAATTGGCTAGCTAGGTCATGAACTCCTCCAAGGCCACGTGGCTAGTCTATAGTCATGTCAGGATTTAAACATAGTTGGTCTCAACTCCAAAGCTGATGGCATATCCACTATGTTACATAACCCCTGACCTGTGCTATTTCAAAGAGGGACCCAGACGTAGATCAAATGAAATCATGGATGTAAAAGACACCTTGTAAAATGTTACAAACAATTTCACTGCCTTCCTTAATTTTCATTTTTTATAAGATCATAAAATTTCAGAGCTGACATGGGCATCTAGTCTAATCTTCCTTCCTGATGAGGAGTCAAGTCTATAATATCCTTCCTGAGTGGTTATCCCTCTTTGGATACCCCCAGTGATGGGGAGTTTACTACCTCCTAAAGCAGACATGTCCATGGTCTGTGAGGAGGTGCTGTGCTTTAATGGAAAGGCCCCTGAACCTGTCATTGATCCTGGTATGTCCCTGGACAGTTTCCCTCTCTGAGCCTCAGTTTATTCCTCTAAAATATAGGGTATGGTCCGGGCGCAGTGGCTTATGCCTGTCATCTCCTCACTTTGGGAGTCCAAGACAGGTGGATCATCTGAGGTCAGGAGTCTGAGACCAGCCTGGCCAACATGATGAAACCCCATCTCTACTCAAAATACAAAGAATTAGCCGGGCATGGTGGCGGCTGCCTGTAATCCCAACTACTCAGGAGGCTGAGGCAGGAGAATCACTTGAACCCGGGAGGCAGAGTTTGCAATGAGCCAAGATCTCGCCACTGCACTCCAGCCTGGGCAACAAGAGCGAAACTCTGTCTCAAAGAAAACAAAACAAAACACAATGCCAAAAAAATAGGGTATGATAATTATTTTTTAAGGATTCTAATGAGAAATAAAGATCATGTATATAAAATTCTTGGCACACTATGGGTATCCATTAGTGGTTCAAATTGTTATGATTCTTTGTTTTGACTCAAGGATTTTGGAGATTTCCTAATAAAGAGAACTGTTGCATTTCAAGATATTTATTATTATTATTACTACCAGGAAAAATTCCTTCCTCCATCACATAGCTTCATTCCAACCGTAATCCCCAGGTAGGGAGCTGGGATGGGGAGGGCAAGATGGGAGTCAGCGACAGAGTAACCCAGGGATGAGTTTATGGTTAGGAACAGAGTGAGAGTTAGGCAGTCAGTGGATAGGCATTTATTGAGAGGATACTATAGGCCAGGCTCTCTTCTGGACTCTGTAGAAGGGGAGGAATATAGAACATGACCTTGACCTCAAAAAGCTGACATCCATTCCAGTGGCGAAGCTTTTCTTTCAGGCTTGAATCCAGGAACGAGCAGGGATGGAAGGAAGTGAGGGATGGAGTGAGAAGATGGTTTTATAAATTACTTGATAATCAGAAGAAGTTTTTTGTTTTGTTTTGTTTTGTTTTTACATTTGGACATCATGCCACCAAGTGAAAGAGCTGCCTCTCAGCAGCCTGCACCATTCTACCTCCCTCTGTTGGAGAGAGGCCTTGGCTGCCAGTGCCCCCACCAAGTCTGCTTTGAACATGAATGAGCAGTAATGGAAGGAGCAGAGACTGCCTTGTCCCTGGTGTCTGAATCTTCTTGTGCAGACGTTTTCTCTGCCCTTAGTCAAAAACACAGCCCTCCCCTTCCTCCCTCCACACAATCTCCTTTTCTCCCCAGCCTCTGCAAAGGAAGGACGGGAGAGGCAGAGCAGATAAACAAAGACGACGTATTTATAACAAACAACCTCGCTCCAGTGGACATATCTTTGGGGATCATGAATATTTTACTTTAAAATGAAAGTCTCTGAAAAACTATTTTATTCCTGAAAAGGCTAAGGAGGATAAGGAGGAAAAAAAAAAAAAAGGTGACAGTAATGGACAACTTTAATACTGCAGTAATGTCCAGGAAGAAATCATTTGTTACAATGAGATTCTCATTTTAATCTTGGTATCAAATATCTCTTTAAGTGCCTACTCACCAGGGGACAAGAGAAAAGGATAGAAAATGTGCCTGCCATTTGCAGAGGCACAGGAAAGCATGGATACATAAAAACAGTAATAATAACTGCTGATGTGACTAGCATCTTTTTAATGTATTTTTGTTCAGCTTATAAAAAAGAGTTTGCAAAGCTTATGGTAGAAAATTTAGAAAATAGAGGTGAATATAAATCAGAAAACAAGAATTTTTCATATACCACTGCCCAAAGTTAATCATTTGCTAACACTTGGTTGTGTCTTTTCTTTTTTTATTCCTTGTTTATACCTGTGTTTCCTGAAATGTATTCTATAAAACATGAATTCCAAGAGACCTTTCATACGAAAGGGGTTTTATGGTCAAAGAAGTTTGCACACTACCTTCATGCATATTAATCTAATCAAGATGCTGAGAAATTATACAGTTAAACTTTGTTTTGCCTGTGTTTCTCAGTCGTACTTGAAATAGAATTTATTTCTGTATACCTCTATTTTACATAATACTTATGAACATCCATGTTGCCATGTTAAAATGATAGTCTACATAGGGGTCAGCAAACATAAAGGGAAAGTTAATAAATGTGTTAGGCTTTGCAGATGGTTTGTATTGCAACTGCTCAACTCTGCTGTCATAGTGTGAAAACAGCTGTAGACAATACATAACAAATAGACTGTAGTTTACTTACACATGGTCTACATGCACAACATTTCTAGGTTACCAAAAGGCTCCCACTTCTAGTACCTTACTTGAGCCTCACAACATGCTTATGAAATAAGAGCATTAGAGATAGCTACAGTGTCGATGTGGAAACTGAAGCACTGAGATATCTAGTGCCTGGTGGCAAGTTGCAAATGGGGTGAGGTAAGACATAGATCTGATCTGAGGTTGCTCTTACTTGTAGGGTAAAGGGGACTTGCAAGCTATAGAGCAGAGAGAAAAATGAGGGGTGGAGCTGAGATTAGAGACCAGGAAGAGGCCTGGAGGGTGGGGTTCATAAAATTATCAATCCCAATGAAAGCTTGCACTTCAAAGAGGTGTCTGTTACCCACAACCAAGAGCTGCAGGGTGAGCCTTGTGGTGTGAAGCGTCTTAATTCTGGGCTCACGTGACCATCTTATTTCCTCTCCCAGGAGATATCAGGTATGACGAGGCCATGGGTTACCCCATGGTGCAGCAGTGGCGGGTCCGGAGCAACCTCTACCGTGTGAAACTCAGCACCATCACCCTCTCAGCAGGTGAGAACAGCGGACTTGGAATAATTTAGCACTTGTTCCCAAGGACCTAGCATGTGCCAGGGTATATGAGAGCACTAGGGATGCTGAGGAAATGGGATGCATCCTCTCTTCCATCAAGGAGTCCCAGGGAGGGTGGGTGGACCGGAGGCTGACAGACAGTAGGGTCAATGCAATAGTGGGGAAGCGGTGGCACAGAAGACAGAGCTAATCATTCTGGGGGAGCTAGAGAGGCTCCCTTGAGGAAAAAGTATCTGAGTAGGGTGTGGAAGTATGAATAGGAGAGTGGGGATAAACAGTCATCTAAGTCATATTTATGTTTCTGAAGTATTTCAAGCTTGTGAATTATAAATTCTCCTCAGATACCAATTTCTCCTTCTCTCCTGGCTAATTTATTTTCCTGTCCATCTCTGATACAAAAATCATATAACTCCCACACCCCCATCCCTTTACATGTACCACCCACATTGTATCCACATGAACTTTAAGCTCCAACAGATGGCAGCAATTTATAGTGCCCAAAATGGTGCATGTTCTTTCATGCCACTGTGACTTTGCCCATACTGTTCCCTCTGTCTGGACCTCTTTGTCTTGGGAACATATGCCATATTATTCTGTGATGCCTCTCCCATTCTCCATTCCCCTCAAAACAACTCACAGAATTCTCGGTGTTGAATATCTATATCAAGACATTAACAAGTGCTTGATTTATATTAGAATCTTGTCTATGACCTGAGAACTGTGGGCGGGGCTTGGGTCTTATTTATTCCAGTATCTCCAAAACTAACAAAGATCAGCAGATTGTTGGTGCTCATGTATGATGGAGGAATTTTTTTAAAATAAATGAAAACTGAAAAATAAGGAATGAATGAAAGAACCTGGAATGAGGCCTGGCCTAGGATTTTCTACCCTGACTCTTACTAATAACACTGTCACGGGTTTATTGTCTGAGTGTCCTCTAATTATCTATGAGTTCTTTTCTTCTCTTTTCTTGTTCAATATCACTTTGTTCATCAGCAAACTGGAGCTCTTATAGCCTGGGAATTGGAGGATTTCACCCTCTGGAAAGTAGAAATAGTAATTATTGCTGACATCTGTTAAGCATTTTATAATGTTTCATTTCTTATGACAGAACAGTACTGCAAGGAAGGCATTATTTATCCCATTTTTCTTCACATAAGTATACTGAGGGTTAGGGAGGTTAAATAACTTGCCCAAGGTCACACAGCTAGTAAGTGGCAGAGCAGGGAATGAATGAATCAAGGATTTCATTGCAGTTTTGTCTGCCTGGATAAGAGCCTCAGGGCATCTCTGTGTGTTGTTTTTTATTACTGAACAGGAACCATCATATTATTAACACTACTGTATTAATTATCCAGTTGCATTACTTAACAGGTTGATGGAGAGGGGTTGTTCTCATCAGACACCCATTCTTTGAGCCCTAATGCTGTTTTCTGCCCCCCACATCCCATACTGCACTTGTGAATAAGATTGTGATGTTCCTATTAGAAGTACAAAGGTGCATCTGCTTTAATTAATCAATATGATGCTCCTGGAAAACCCTTTTGTCAATCAAATGTTGGCAAATTAGAGCTCACTTTTAATGTTGGAGAGAAGCTTGTTCTTTTACATTTTACTTTGATGTGGCACAGTATTGGTTGTTCTTGTAATAATTGTGGTTGGTATGTTTGCTGTGTCCCAGGCACTGGGCCGTGCACCCAGTTGGGGTGGGTGTGCGGGGAGGATGCATGTGCAGATACAGAGACAAATAAGGTAGAGCTTCTGACTTTAAGGTGGTGCATGTTGAAAGTGCAGAGAGGAGGCACTCCTGTCCCTGATGATGGGAAAGGCTTCTTGGAGGAGAGGTGACTTCCAGGGGCCTTGAAGCATAGGTGCGACTTAAGGAAGACATAGGGAGGCCATTTCAGGCATGTGTGTGTGTGTGTGTGTGTGTGTGTGTGTGTGTGTGTGTGTGTTGAGGGTAGTGAGAATGCAAGGAAAGATAGAATGATAGAAATTCCAGGTCACATTCAGGATAAATAATAAAACTAATTTGGCTGGAGCTAAAACTTAGTGTGGGTGGCTCATGAGAGATGAACTTGGAACCTTGAATATCTAGAGAAGGTCACTAGGCTTTGTCCAATAGCAGGGAGGAGCTCAGGAAGGGCCCTGGAAGAATAGCTTGGTCATGTGCCTGCTTGAGGAAGGAGAGAAAGAGGAGTAAGGCACCAAATCCAGGCTGGGAAGAACCTCTGCCACTGTATAATTTGCTAGCCGCCAGCCTCCCACATCTGACCACCTCCACATGCTCCTCTCTTGTCCAGGCTTCACTAACGTTCTCAAGATCCTGACCAAGGAGAGCAGTCGGGAGGAGCTGCTGTCCTTCATCCAGCACTATGGCTCCCACTACATCGCAGAGGCCCTTTATGGCTCAGAGCTCACCTGCATCATCCACTTTCCCAGCAAGAAGGTCCAGCAGCAGCTGTGGCTCCAGTATCAGAAAGGTAAGCTCGGAGTGTCTACTGGAGGAGGTGGCCAGGCAGGGTATAGAGGGAAGGTGTCTGGGGAGACAACAGAGCTGCCTTGGATCTAAATCTTGGCTCTGCCACATCTAAGCTGTGCGACCTTGGGCAAGTCCCTGCCTCTCTCTGAGCTTCAGTTTCACCATGGGCAGAGTAAGGGATCATACAATGATTTTTGCAGGATTCTCTCAAGTTAGGCATTTTCTGAGGCCTCAAGTTAGTGTTCTAGACTCCAGAGCCCTTGCTTTCTCCTGCAGGTACTTTGCTTCCCATATCCTCTCTTTGAAACACCTGCCAGGGATCAGGTTGGGGTCAGCAATTGGTGTCTTCTTGATGCTTTCTTCTCTCCAGGCTTCTTGGGAGAACCCAAAAAGAGCTTGGGTTCTTCTCTCCCAAGAAGAGCTCCCTTCCTCTGGAAAAAACAATCGCCTCGTGACCAAGCGGACGGTTTCCATTAAGTCCTGTGGAGAGGCTTTTATCCTCAGGACGGGTCAGCAGATTTCATTTCCCTTTGATTCTCAGCTATTATCAGAATTAGAATTCCTCAGACCAGGTGCAGGAGACCAGTCTCCGCCCACTCACCTTGGGAAGGTTTTTCCTTTTCCACCTCAGTTTTCCCTTCCTGTGAAATGGGTATGTAAGTAGCTATTCTTGTCTGCTTCTCACATTAAAGATAAGTAGTATATGTAATAGCATTTTGAGAAAGCTAAAAATATCGCACATGTATATACATGTGTTTTAATAGGTCAGTGTATTCACACTCCCACTTTACACATGAGAAAATGAGTCTCAGATATGCCACATCAAGTGCCCGTAGACACACAGCTAATAAGTAGCAAGGTCAGGATTGGAACCCAAGGCTGGCTGACCGCAAAAGCCCATGTTCTTTCCCTCTTTCAACTATACTGAAGTGCTTCTTGATATAGTTAATACTATATTATCAACTATTTGTAAAAGAAAGTCTCTCAATTGATGCAAAGGGTGAAGAGCAATGTTAAAAACATGCTTGCATCTTTTCATACAGCTCAGCCACCCTATCTCCAAGAATGAAAGCAATCACAACAAAAAACCACTAAGTGTGGGAGCCAGGAGAGATCTGAAAGATCTCATTGAGCATAGCACTCCAGTTTTGCAGTTGAGGAAACTAAGTCTGTAGGGGAGAAGGGAGCTTTCACACAGCTCTGCTTGGCAGGACCAAGACCAGGTGGGATTGCTCTACACACCCTGTCTAGTGCTTTTTATGTAGTTGCACATTCCCGAATGGATAAAACCCTAGTCCACCTGCCTTCCCAATCTCTAGATCCCTTCCTTTTGTCCCTGGAGGCTTTGCATCCCCAGTCGTGTTCTCACCCCTTTCTGCTTCCTGTGTGCAACTGAGTGGGGCAAGGGATGGTTTATGGGCACAGTGGATATAATTGAGTTGTCTGGGAATAGCTCCGTTTTATGACTGTTAACAATGACAGTCTTTAAGGAAGTGCATTAAATCAGTAGAAGTCTCATTGTGCTACCCTGCAAATAATGTGACACATCATTAAGCAGGGCAATAAGCTTCAGGACTTTGAAGTAATACAATTAGGTTATGTTTATAAAAACCTTCGCTCACTGTGGCCACATAACTAATTTGCTTCATATCACGTTTGGGGCCTGGGACACTACTCTGATTCTAAATCCCACCCCTTTTCCATCCTTAGCTGTCTTCAGACTTTAGAATTTTTCTTTCCAGAAAATCCCATTCCTTGTCTGGTGGATCATGGAATTTGTTACAAATAAGATGGGAGAGGAGGAAGAAAGAGTGCTGAAACAACAGCTAGGAGGACCCCCTCAAGACCTGGCTTTGCCACAAACTTGCAGGGTAAACTTGGTGTTTTCCTTCCTGGGCTTCTAGTCTACAAAGGCACTTTTCTTGCTTCCATCATCCATACTTGCTCCCAAGAAGAGAATAGGGGATACATTGAGGTCAACTTAACCATTCTGTGTGTTTCTTCCCCTCCATCTTCACCTGCTGTGACCACCTAGATGGTAGATCAAATACTCTGGTTTTATTTTTTATATTTGGGAGTGATGCTAGGGAATGGGGAGATGAGAAGCTGGGGATTTGCCTCTGTAGAGTTGAAAGAAGTCTTTGGACTTAAAGATAGCTAGTATCCCTTTTCGCCCCAGCCATGAGTTGTGTGTCACTGACATCTGCTAAACATTGGACAGGCCAGGATGAATCTGGGCTTGGGGGCTGATACCTCGGGGGACAGAGCTTGTGAGAGGAGGAGGGACAGTGCGGTGCTGAAGTGGGATGGAGGATATTTCATGTCTCTACTCCTCTTTATACACACCTGGCAGGTAACCTCAGGTAAAGGAATTACTAAGTCTCAGTTTCCTCGTGTGTTAAATGAGGGATAGTAATTCTCTTGCCTGGCTTTTGGGAGAATAAAATGAGATGATGTAGGTAAAATGTCTGGTACATAGTAGGTACATAGAAAACAGTAGCTTGAAATAAAGTAAAAATTGAGAGCATCAGCTGAGGATTCTAGTCCCCGCTCCATACCTTGCTCATGTGTGAGCTCAACCCTCAGTTTTCTCTGTGAGCTACAGATGTCACTAGAAAAATCCCTGTAAGTGTCCTTTTAACTTTCTTAGTGGAAGGAGGAGTGGAGGGGCCAAACATGGTAGAGTAGGTTGAAGAAAATAGACCAAATAGGGCATGGATAACATCCATGAACATTCATACAGCCCTCTACAGTTTGCAGATGGCCTTCCTATGATCTTCTCATCTGCCTACAAAACAAAGGAGGCAAGGGTGCTCCCTTTACAGAAGGGGAAACCTTAACTTACAGAGGCAAAGGGCCACCGTTCTTACTGAAGGAGATTGTGTTTGAATCCAAACTTGAGCCCATTGCTTCCTTCGCCCTAGCTCTGTTGTCCCTGGACATTAGAAACAAATGCCCTAGCCTTCCCAGGTTTCATAATGATGGGACCCTGGCCACTTTTTTGATCTGGGGAAGCCACTGGAAATTACTGGAAAGCCAAGGGAGATGGGGGTGAATGTGCCTTATTAAAATATTTCCCGTGAGAGGTTTACTCTCATTCCCCTGTTTCTAAAGGTACATTCTGTGGGCAAATAAAATCATAGTTATCATTCATTAATTCTTTGAACATTTCCCAACTGTTTTTTCTCTGTATTTTCTTGTGTCAGATGTTGTGGCACCAAATAAAGAAGATATGGGTTCTGTTCCTACGTTGTTCATTACCAGCATGCCTTAGTCTACCAATATTTCATCATTTTTGTTACAGACTTTAAAAAAAAATCCACTAGTAGACAGCAGGGAAGAGGGAGGGGGCTGACATTTCCAGGCTGGGTGGGATACCCAGTCACTATCATATTATGGTCTCTAGCTTTCATGTGCCAATTCTGATCAACTAGGGAATGGCTTGTCTAGAACACTGTGTGCAAGTTATTGGGATAATTGAGAAAGGGAACTACGATCAGTTGGTAATGTCTATTCTAGACTCAGAAAGGAAGTGTGGTGGTCTGGATCCTCTGTATTTTCTTCCCTGTAATAGGGCAAAAATAAAAGCTAGAATAACAGGCCTAGTTTTTGATGTTGATCCCAGAAGGGGCACTGGGCATGCCAATAACCACTGGTAAGAACTCCAGGTAGGAAGGCAGAATTTTATATCACCAGGTGGGAATTCTGAGCTTTCCAGTAGTCTGTAGGTGACTAGAGCATCAAACAGGTCAATAAGGTAGAATCTAATCCAATGCAGGAAGAGCTGGGCCTTAGGACACAACTAGAGTAGCCAAAGTCATCTCTGGAAGCTCCAGGTTCCAGGCATGATTAGTATGGAAGCTATTTAGCCTGTTAGGGTTTCTTTAGCCGTTACCTCTGCTTCCATGCCATTCCCCCAATCAGTGTGTGAACTTCTGAGTCTCTTGCTCTAGCATAATACTTTCACTACATGTTGCTGTGCTCTTGATATCCCTGTATTTTGAAAAAAACTACCTTCTTCTCACTGGGGCTCCATTTTACCTTTTGACTTGATATTCACACATTCTCCCTAGCTGTGATCATGAAACATGAGTTTTATATCATGATGAGGGTTCACTGTATAAAGTCACCCTTCCTGTGGCTACCTCGGATAAAGACTTTCTCATTTGGAGATAAAGCACAGGTTTCACAATCAGATGGACCCCAATTCAAATCCCAGCTGTATCTCTTACCAGATGTGTGATCTTGAGCAAAGTGGTTCATTCTTCAAGATCGGTTTTCCCATATGCAAAATGCAAAGTCATTGTGTAGATTGAGTAAGAAAATAGAGGAATGGATGGAACCATCCAGCTCTGAGTTGAGGACCTAATTATCTTGATCCAACCCGTGCCCTCCACCCAAGGCTGCCACATCCACTTCGATTACTGTGTTCCCAGGTGTGTATGTTTGTGTGTATGTATGTGCGTGCAGGCACACATGTGTGTGAGCAGGGGTGGGGGTTGCTAATTTGCTGTCATCCCTTGTCATCATTGTGACCCAGGATCAAGGGCAGAGGTAGATTTTCCTAGGATTGGGAGGGGCCTCAGTGAGTTTAGCTACAGGCTTGGAGCCAGTGAAAGGAAGGAGTTGCGGAAGTGGACTGGGGAGATACCAAAAGGAATCTGTAACTTTTATCATCCCCTGTAATTCTCTACTTAGGGAGGATAGTGATAGATGCAGGAATTAGCAATATTATAAGTTTCCTAAATTTTTAATTGCTTCTTTTTTATAGAGAAACTGACTATGGAAGGTGACATATATGTGTTTGTGAAATAATTGCTCATTCTGTGTGTGCATGTGAGAGAGAGAGAGACAGAGAGCTAGAGCAAGAGAGAGAGGAAAAGAAAGGCAGAGAGAGAAAAGGAGGAAGGGGAAAGGGAGACAGAAAAACAAAGAGAGAGAGACAAAGGCACACCAAAATCCACAAAGAGAAATGGAGAGATAAAGAGAGGCTAGAAGTCA